TGCCGAAGGTCCTGGATGGCAGGGAGGGTCAAGTACAGAACCGTCACTGCCAGGGCGAGGAACAAGAGGGAAATGGCTGCCGTGAGCCCCCGGGAGGGAGAGGGGGCGATGGACACGGTGGGAAAGCTTTTGTGCGGCTTTTCTGCGTCGGCGGGCGGGGCTTTGCTCGTGCCGTTCTTCTTGAGAGGGGTCCGCGGAGGGCTGTGTGTCTACAAGGTGGGGGAGACCCAAAAAATGTGGCCATGGTAGGCAGGGATCTGAGCTTGAGTCGTGGGGATGATTGTCGGGAAAAGAGCAGAGAGGCGGTGCCCAAGGGGAATGGGAGCGAGGTTGGACAAAACTTCTGTACACACTAATTGGGGTGCGATTTATAGGCCCAAGACATCGGACACGGCGTTGGGAGAGTGGTTATGCATCGCCCACGAAGGACGAGACTTCACATCTTCCATGTTCTGTATCGATTGTGTTTTTAAATTGATCTTACAGAATGGTGAGCGTTAAATTCCTTACCAGCCTTGATTGCGGGGTTGTTGCTGCCCCTCCCCCCCTTGTCATTATTTCCCCTTCATCCGCACTACCCTCGATGTGACTGGTACTCCTACCACCTCCAGCAGCGGCGCCACTCCGTCGAGAGACTGCCATGATTCGAACGTGAAGTCCCCTGATGCGAATAAGGAAAAGCAGGATCGAAACAGGGGATGTCAAATATAGCGACTTTCATATGGGAGGCTAACAAAAGCAACGACAACAACGCCGCGGTCCAACAATCTTGCCATGTCATCCACTGTGTCCGAGTACCTCATACATGTACATATCAGGCCATCCCAGATGCTATAGGGCGTTTCCTGACCTTCAGAGGCTATGAACCCCCCCAACCCGGACTTGCCAGACGGAAGACTTGAAGTTGACGCACTACTTTATTCTTCTCCGGTCAGAGAGTCCAGTGCCGGCGAGTCGTGCGGTCACGGCAGTCACCAACGCCCCGTTGTTTGGGTGAATTTCGGACGGACTGGTGCGAAAAGCAACATTAAAAACGCCCAAAGTCTGCTGAAGACAAGTTTGGGTCGGTTTGGACGGCACTCCCGCCTCGAAGGACAAGCTCGTGCTCCCGATTCCGCCAAAGAAATAATAATATGACGTAAGCCTGCACATGACTGGAGTCCCGTCCAATTGTGGCTGTTCGATTCACCGACGACTTCGTCCCACTAAAATTTTCAGGTCGTCATTTTTTTTTCCGGGAAAAAAAATTACATGGAAGACCTATTCCTGGTGCAAACTTTCTATCACGTTTTGGAGGCTATCCGCCGACCAAATAACTTTCACCTTTTCGTTTCCAACCTATTTTAAGGCCTCCCTCACCATATTTTTTCACTGCGTAGCCCTCATCGTTCCTTGTTGTACTTGATGAAGTCCGGGAGGCAATGTGCGATTGCCGCAAACCCTTGAACCATAGCATTGTAGGCCAAGGGGGCTGTTCCTGCTCGCACCAACACGGCAAAGGTGCCCTTCAAAGCCCCGAAAAGAGGTGTGTCGGACATGACAAGATCGGTGTGGAAAGCCAAGCCCCCCCCCAAAAAAAAGCCAAGGTGAAAAGAGGATAAATGTGGGGAAAAAAGAAAGTATGGCAAGCTTAAAAAAGGTTGACTGAACGAGCGAGTTGGGAGGTACGGGTCCTGACAGGGCAATCGACACGGGAAGGAGGGTGGGGGGGGGGATTATCGCTCACCTGGTCATACCAATGGCAGCGTCCGATCCCACTGAAAATCTGGGAGGGAAGCTCATCGGGTGCGACGGCTGTTTTTTTCACCTAGGGGAAGGGCTAATTGGATCAGACACCCTTGCCAGTCCTTTGTTCCCATCATCTGGAGAAAACGCGCCCCGAAACACAACCACACATGGAAGCGCTCGCTTCACGCGCACTGCATGAAGTACGTGAAGATGAGGAGGTGTCTTGGGGCGTGGAAGGCGAGAGAGAGGAGATGAGAGAAGAGACTTCCTCCTCCGAGGGACGTACCATGTCCAGCATTTCCATCTGGTGCGTCTTCTCGTAGAAGCGGGAGGCGACAGGAGAGGGGTGCACGCTCATCACGTCGATGCCTGCGCGGTAGAGGGAGGGAGGGAGGGAGGGAAAAGGTCGCCTTCATTTTCCGCCGAGGACTTGGGGCAAAGCCCCAAGAGTCGTCATCAGGGATGCTGGGGATGGTCGGGATAGGATCGAGAGAGGAAGCTAGGGGACGAAAATCCTAACCCTACCCCTAATTCTAACCTCGGCTTTTGACTTCCACCGCGAGACAGGCTGCGAACTGGGAGAGGAACGCCTTGGTGGCGCCATACCTACCCAGAAGGGTGGGCGAGAGAAAGGGAAAAGGCAAGCAGATGGACTGGATGGTGAGTGGGGAGTCTTATGACGTGATTCAAGCGGGTAAGGGATGGTTGAGGGGAGGGAGACTGGAGGGTAAGCAAAGGGCTGGGAGGGACCTTGTGGAGGTAGACGGGAGGTGACCATCGGTGAGAGTCAGGCGGTTAGGGACTCACATGGAGGAGAAGGGCGAGGGCATGTACCCAGACACCGAGGAAGTGAAGACGATGCAGCCCGGCAACTTTTTCTGGGACAAGAAAATTGCGCGAAAAGGCATATGGGCCGTCCACCCCAAGTCAGGTGGGAGGTGTGTGCGAGGATGAAGCAAAGGAGGAACGACGCTGGCGCCATGCACAGAACTAAAAATGATGGGCATAAAAACGGTGTGAAAGCGAGAAGAAGAAGGAGAAATCAGTGATACCTGTATGAGCTTCTGGAGAAAATGGTGCGTAATGCCAACGGCGGCCGTGGCGTTGCATTCCACGTTGGCGAGCTGCTTCTCCAACGGCTGCGAGTCGAAGAAACCTGTGAGAATATAGCTGAGGGAAAGGGACAGGGGTGACGAAAACGATAGAACATAACGTACTCGTGGGATTTGTCGGTGAGAACCCTCCCCCAAGCCGTTGGCTTCGGCCGAGGAAGATAGACTGAAGATCGGGACCTCGGCAGAGGTACACGCACACCTTACTCACCCCGCGTTGTTGAAAATAATCTGGACGTCGATATCCTTGGTTGCCGAAATAATCTTGGGGAGGTAGGCTTGGCCGGGGGCGAATAAAACGCCAACGGCGCGGAACTCCTAACGTGATATCGGGGAGCGAAAATTGCGTTAAAACGTGTGCATACTCGTGTCACTACTGATATGGAGAGGTCTTCGCGCAATTTGACCCCTGTTTAGACCAACCTGCTTGGGGAAAGCGCTTTGAAGCTCCTTCACAGTGTTCTTGAGCAAGTCGTCATCCATGGAGACGACGCAGACATTCAAGCCCTGCATAGCTAATCGATCCACGATGGCCCGCCCGATGCCGGAAGAACCCCCCGTGACGAGAGCCCATTGAGCGTTGTACTTCTTTTTCAAGTCTTGAGGGCCCAGCAGCTTCATGAAGATCAAGGGAAGGAAGTAAGTGAATGACCAGACGACTGTCGGGGCGGCAATCGCCAGTAGGATCAAGAACACAGGCATTGGAAGGGCCAGGGAGTCAGTGAGGCGACACCCCATGATCGTCAAGATGTCTGTAAGGTATAAATAGAAAATGTCACGCGATAATACGCGGGAATATGGGTGAAGCGTTGTTCGTGGGTTGTATTAAAGGTCCGAT